CCCCGGGTTCCCGCAGGGCGCCCACCGAGGAGCACGGGCCAGGAAGCCGCGGGTGGCAGCGCAACTCGGGAGGAAGGCCCAGGAGGAGCAGGCGCTCTGCAGCGGCCAAGAAAGGTCCAGACGCTGCGGCCGCGGCGCTTCCTGTTACGTGCGGGCGTTCCGCTCTGTCTCTGCCAGGCATTCTCGGACTAGGGCCCGGGCATGGATGATGCCTGGGGGCGGGGCGGGTCTCAGCCACCCTCCACAGCCCGCCCCTGCCCTCCAGAGGCAGGCCCCTCCCTCCCCACCCTCTTCCTTTCAGCAAGAGAAACGCAAATCTCATGAGGGCTGGATGCGATGAGAAAAGTTTGGCTAACCCTCAAACCTGCCCTGGTGAAACACAAATTCCCTGGACCCGGAGTCCATCCCCACCCCGATCCACAACCCCTTTCCCGGGAGCGAGTCTGGCCCTCGGCGAGGCGTAGCTCGGCGGCCTCCCGCCGGCCTCCCTGCCCTAAGGGCGCAAGGTGCTCGGGGTCAGTCTCCGCGGCGGGGCAGGGGGGCTGGCCTCGCTTACCTCTCTTCAGGCGCTCCATGGCGCTTTTGCTGCCGGCGTAGGTGGGCCGGATCTCTTTGCCCATGTCCTCGATGACCGACAGCAGGTCCGTGTACGTGCTCTGGGAGCCCTGGGCGACGGGTGGCTTCATCGCCTGCACGTCAGAAGAGGCCAGGGCGGTGAGCTCCAGCCTCCGCGGGGAGGGGCGCCCCAACCCCGTCCACCCGCAAGCCCTCGGACCCACTCACCTGCACATAGCCCATGGAGGGCGGCCCAAAGTCGTTGAAGAGCGGCCTGAAAGGCGCAGCGGCTCCGGGCACTGAGTTCGACGGCGACGGGGCGCTCCCGGCTGCAACGGGCGCGAGGAAGGAGAGGTCAGCGCGGGACCGGGTGGCCGCGCCTCCCAGCTCGCCAAGGCCCCGAGCGGGCCGCCCGACGCCCTCCCAAGGATGCTTCGCTCCACGCGGACTCGACTTCAGGCACAAACCCCGCCCCCTGCGCTCCACCTACAAGCCCTTACGTGACCACGCCCACTTCACAGGCCAGCAAACTGAGGCTCAGCGAGGCGAGGCGGCAGGCCCGGCATTGCAGAACTCAGGCCGTCTTCTCTTCCAGACCTCGGCCGCCCGGGCAGGAGGCCGGGGGGTGGAGCTGGATCCTCACCTGTGGGGACCGGGGTGCCCGGCCCGGGGGT